AATAATATAAATTTTATTTTTAAAATTTTAAATAAAATAATATAAATTACATCATTTATCTTAAATTTTAATTTTATTTATCATTATTTATAAAATTAATATTAGTTTAAAAACTAGTATATTTTCTTACCGACTAGCATAATACCACAATAAATACTGATGAAAAGAAACGAAGATGCAGTGTTTGGAATAAAAAGCACTGAAAAGTCAGTTTTTAAATTAATTTTACAATAAAATAAAATTTTAAATGTATAAAATAAAAACTTGGTTTTTCATGCAATTAACTTTCAAACTTTAACAAACACCCTTAAAAAAAAAAGAAAAAAAAGAAAAAAGGGAGTCATGACCTCTCTTTATAAAAAGTGTCTTTATCAAGTCAATGATGCAGTATTTTTATTAAAAAAAAAAAAAAAAGTGTGGTGTCCAATCTCCACTAACCTGACTATACTCTTTGACCACACCATTCCATCACATGGATTTCAGTCTAGCATCTAATCACCTAGCGATTTTAAAACCGCGTGACAACAGTAGTAGTTGCCTCGATCCACCCTTATATTATATACAATCATCTATTTCATACCATCCCTATAAACTCTCCAGCATAATTTGCGTACTTTTCCCAGATCTATTGAAGTGAAGATGGGCGATCTTGTCTTGGGTCCTGTTGTTGATGCCACCATATCCAAGGTGATTTCAGCTGCTACTCAGCAAATCAACCTTGCAGTCAGTTGGAAAGCAGAGCTCAGAAGACTTCGCGACAAGTTGACCATGATCCGTGCTATGTTGCAAGATGCAGACAGAAAGCAAGTTGGAGGCTCAGCTGTTAGGCTTTGGCTTAAGAAGCTCAGAGACGTGGCTTGTGATGCTGAGGATGTTTTGGACGAGGTTGTTTATGAAAGACTGAAACAGGAGGTACGGATTCAAAGGCAAATGAAGAAGAAGGTCTGTCTCTTCTTTACTTTCTCCAGTCCTTTCATATTTCGTCTCAAGATGGCTAATAAGATCAAGAATCTTATTGCTTCTATAGTGGAGATTAATGAGGGCGCTACTGAATTTGGACTTCAGTCCATATATGCTACCCATGAATCTAGATGCAACCCTCAAACAGCATACTCTTCTCTTGGTTATTGTCCTAGAGTCATAGGAAGAGAGGATGATGTGTCAAAAATAGTTGACTTGTTGATTGATCCAAATAATGAGGAGTCCCTTTCTGTTGTATCTGTAGTGGGTATGGGGGGTCTAGGAAAAACCACCTTAGCAAAATCAGTGCAAAATCATGAGAAAATAGTGAGGAATTTTGGTAGAACAATGTTCATTTGTGTGTCTGAAGACTTTGATGTCAAAAAAATCCTAAAAGAGATGTTTGAGTCTCTTACCAAAGAGGGTTGTTCAATTGAAAACCAGGCTACCATAGTGGGAAAAATACAAGATGAGTTAAAAAATGAAAACTATCTACTCATCTTAGATGATGTGTGGAATGAGGATCCATTGAAGTGGGAAGCCTTAAGGGGTTGTTTGTTAGAAATAAATAAAAATAAGGTGAGTAGAATGGTTGTGACAACTCGAAGTGAAAATGTAGCATCTATAATGGGAGCACTTGGAGAACACATGTATCATCTTGAAGGACTAGAAGATGAAGAGTGTTGGTCTATAATAAAGCAGAGAGCATTCGGAGGTTCTTCAGTGCCTAATCTGGAGTTGGAAGTGATTGGAAGGCAGATCGCTAAAAAATGTAAAGGTGTGCCCTTAGTTGCCAATGTCCTTGGGGCTAGTTTGTGTAATCGAAGTGATAGTGGTGAATGGGTGTCAGTTAACGATAGTTTTGATGCAAGGAGTTCAATGAAAGATGATAGAAGGACATGGATTGTTCGAGTTTTACAGTTGAGTTTTGATCGCTTACCTAACACAACATTGAAGCAATGTTTTGCCTTTTGCTCCATTTTCCCCAAGGATTGGAAAATTGAAAAGGAGATGTTAATTCAATTTTGGATGGCTGAAGGCTTTCTTCAACCATCAGAAGGCAGCAGTTCTATGGAGGATATTGGTAACAAGTATTTCAATGACTTGTTATCATATTCTTTGTTTCTAGAGGAAGACAAAGATTCAACTGGCAAGATTAAGTCATGCAAAATGCATGATTTAATTCACGATCTTGCCATTTTCAATTCAAAATCTGAAACACTTATTTTTAAAGCTGCTTCAGAGAGTAATATTGCTCATGTTCGGCATTTGAATCTCGTTGATGCTGAGGAAATGGTGCCAACAAATTTTGTGGAGGTGGCTGGAAAACTACATTCCTTATTTCTTAAAGGTGATATCCTGTGCAAGATGCCAAATAGCTTCAAAAGGTTACGCATTCTTAGCTTTCGTGGAGCTAATATTGAGCAGCTGCCAACTTGGATTGGCAAGATGAAGCATTTGAGGTATCTAGACATTTCATTCACCGACATTAAAGAACTACCCCAGTTTATCATGGAGTTGTATAGTTTGCAGACACTGAGGTTCATGTATTGTTATCAGATTGTAGAACAGCCAAAAGGGGTGGAAAACTTAGTCAGCTTGAGACACATTTATTTCAATAGAGACAGCTGTATGCCACTCAGAATTGGTAGGCTAAAGGATCTTCAAACGTTGCAGTTATTTGTTGTCGGTCTACAAGAGGGAAGTCGAATTGAGGAATTGGGATGCTTGAGCCAACTTGGAGGTGAATTAAGGATACGTCATCTAGAGCATGTTGAAAACTACTCAGAAGCCGAGAAAGCAAAACTTTCGGAAAAGATTGAACTTCATAAGTTGAGTTTGGAATGGGCAGATAGAAATACAGAAGAATGTGATCATGATGAAGATGTGTTAGCAGGCCTCAAACCTCCCCTAAATTTGAGAAACTTAACTATAGAATGTTATGGAGGTGAAAAATGTCCATCATGGATGGAGCCTAGTTTGAGTGAATCATTTTCGCTCACCAATTTGGTGGACTTGAAAATCTTAAAATGTAAAAAGTTGAAAAGCATGCCAATCATGATCGGGTTATCATCTCTTCAACAGCTTCGAATTCAGGGTTGCCTTGAATTAACCAGAATCGAAGATGGAGTATTTGCCTTTCCGAAGTCCCTCAAACGACTAGACATTTGGTCATGTCCAAGATTGGAAACAATTGGGGATAGTATTTCGACCCTCACATGCCTAGAAGAGTTAGATCTAGATGGATGTAGAGATCTGAGGCTCCTTCCAATCATGGGCGGGTTATCATCTCTTCAACAGCTTCGAATTCAGGGTTGCCTTGAATTAACCAGAATCGGAGATGGAGTATTTGCCTTTCCGAAGTCCCTCAAACGACTAGACATTTGGTCATGTCCAAGATTGGAAACAATTGGGGATAGTATTTCGACCCTCACATGCCTAGAAGAGTTAGATCTAGAAGGATGTAGAGATCTGAGGCTCATTCCAATCATGAGCGGGTTATCATCTCTTCAACAGCTTCGAATTCAAAACTGCCTTGAATTAACCAGAATCGGAGATGGAGCATTTGCCTTTCCGGCGTCTCTCAGAGAACTACACATTTGGTCATGTCCAAGATTGGAAACAATTGGGCAAAGTATTTCGACCCTCACATGCCTAGAAGAGTTAGATCTATATGGATTTGAAGATCTGATGCCCATTCCAAGTGTAAATGGGCTTTCCTCTCTAAGAAAGTTACGGATTGCCTACTGCAGTTCAGTGGTGAGTATACCAAATGGACTGTCCTCCTGCACTGCTCTTAAAGAATTGATCATAAGTGACTGCCATAATCTGATCTCCATCTCAGAAGACTTGAAGGCCTTGCATTCTCTAGTTGATTTATGTATTTTCAGATGTGAAAATTTGAGGAGTATTCCGGAGGAGAGCTTCAGCTGTCTTGTCTGCTTGGAGCAGTTGGGAATTGGTGGTTTCTCAAAAGAGTTGGAGGAATTCCCATATCTCAAGTCCATCCACCACCTCAACGCCTCCCTTCAAGGATTAGAGTTGCATGGGTGGGAAAAACTAACGTATCTACCACCTCAAATTCAACACCTCACTTCTCTAAGGGAATTGCGCATACTTGATTTCAATCAAGTGGAAGCTTTGCCGGAGTGGTTGGGAAGCTTGTCATCTCTTCAAACTCTGTGGATTGTTGGCTGCGCAAATTTGAAATATCTGCCTTCTGCACAAGCCATGCAACGCCTCTCCAAGTTGCAGTATCTTCATAGTTTTGGATGTCCAGAGCTAAAAGGAAGATGTGCAAAGGAAACCGGCCTTGAATGGTTCAAAATTTCTCACATTCGATACATCATAATAGAGTAAGTGCGCATCCAATAACAAGGAGATTGGGCCCTTTTTCTGAGGTATATATTTAAATTTCTTATTAATCCTCAACTTCTCTTCTTCCTTATAATAAATTCCACCACTAATTTTGCTTCTTTCTTCAATTCAGACTTCAAAGTAACAAAAAAGTCCAAATTTATCAATCCAAAGGGTTACTTATGGCTGCTTCAATTCTCTTAACCTACAATGCTTGTGAAAATTCTTTAAAAGGTAATTTCTTATAACTCTTAATCTGTTCCATATAAGTATTCTTTTACTAGCTTGTTTGGTTTATGGGGAGGGGATAAAATTCCCTATTTGGATAACAAAAATTGGAGGGTAGGGAATGGGAGGGAGGATTTACCTTTAATTTCCTTTATAATTTTAGTATAACTTAATGAAAAAGGGGGAAGCAAGCAAGAGGGAGGGAAATGGAAGGATGTTATGGCGCCTCCATTCCCCACAAACCAAACAAGGGTAGGAATTTCTCATTATTCAGAATGTATAATAAATGATTCCTATGGTTTGGAAGAATTGAAAATGGGTGGTTTTCTCGAACTATTTATGTACATACATATATATGCATAGGTCACTGGTTTACAGGTGCCTAAGAAATCCTCATCAATCTAGTAAGTTCTTAGAACTTGTAGCATGGTCTTTGAGTTGGGTTTTATGAACTAGCTTCAAAATTTTTATCATACAACTTGTTAG